GTGCTGCACTTCAAATGGCGAAAACTGTGAAGGACCCCCTTACTCGCTAAAATGTCGTGAATGAAAAGATAAGCACCTCAGGCTACTGTACATATCATGTTTATTGGTTTTAATTTATCAAATACTTTAGGTGGCGTCAAATCTTGACAACTGTTAGCTTCTCTCCGTGATTGTCTTTTAACACATTTTCTTAAACAAAGACTAACATAATTATTAAATATTAATTGAAATTTGTTATTTTTATCCCCTGTTTTTGGCTTTTGTTCGAACATAGAATAAACAGTTATTTTGTTTATGTGTGTGTTTCTTTCTAGCTTCAGAAAGCATCTCAGTCTTTGCACAAGACGCATACTGACGTCAGTTTCCTTGGAAACACTAGATAGATTTTTATTTATTTATCAAATGAATTGTTTGTTCGAGTTTCAAAAATTTATTGATTAAAAAATAATTGGAAAAAAAATGGTTGAAAGTGAACATATGGAGTTTTTGCGTATGTTCTACGTTGAAAAATGTTCACGAACTTATTGCTGTTTCCAGAATGTTTTTAACAAAAGTTTGACGATCGGATAATAGCTGACTTTTATACATTTTTCGAGATCTCATAACGATTTTGGAAAAAAATTTCGAGAAAGTTTATTACCTGATAAAATTTTAAATATTGACGTTTCATTTTTATTACTGAAAACCTCTCATCATAAAACAAACAGTAAAAACCTCGAAAATGGCGGGTGTCTTTGGCTTAGTTAGCAAAACATTAGATTGGTCTGGAGAGGTAAAAACAGGAATATCACTGCCATCCCCACTATACAGTTTGCGTATTAGTTTTATTTGTGGATTTAACCTTGTGGATTTAAACATCTGGATCCAGTTCTCTTATCTTCAAATATATTTTGTTATCACTTGGGTTTGATGAAACAGGATATATTTTAGGTTCTTTTACTGCAGTAATCCACCAACATGGTTATGTCTCTTGCAATTATCCAGCTTCGGGGTTTTATACCTTCAGGGTTATGACTTTTGCGGGGTTTTTTTTTTATCTTCATGGCTATAGCTTTTGTTGTATTTTGAAGTTTATGTCATTCTGTTTATTATTATTTTGTTTACTGTTTATTTGTAATTATGCAAAAAAGCTACACAATGGGCTATTTGTGCTCTGCCCACCAAGGGTATCGAAACCCGGCCTCTAGCGTTGTAAGTCCGCAGACATACCACTGTGCCACTGGGGGGCTATTATGTTGGTTCTTTGCAGAAGATTCTAAGTTATAAAAAAACATTCAGTCGTTACCATTAACAAGCTAAATGTTTCCTGAAAATTAATGTTTATCATTCAAAAATTAATTACTTATTTACATGCCTAAAGGTGAGATTCTTGTAACTTTACAACGTGGATACGTGCACACCGAGTCTAAATTTAATAAATTCTTAACGCTTGACGATTGTAGAAACTTGGTTAACCTAAAAAAATAACAACATTTTGTTCCTGTTCAAGATGATAGTATTAAAGAATTTAAAAAATGGAAAAAAATGACAGTCTATTTTACAAAATGAATATATAAAGAAAGAAAAGGAAAAGAAGAAAATCTTAGCTCAACTAACTCTTCAAATCGAGCATCCTTGTCTACTTGTTTACCAAAATCCTCAAGAACCGTTGAGTCACTCACTGAGAACTTTTTATCAAATAACAAGATACCTTCTGTAGCAGAACAAATGAATAAAGTATAGCGTAAAATTGGCGATCTCAAATTCGATTCAGTTTTCGTTGTGTTCCATATATTTATTTATTGTCAAGCAGTAAGATGAATTCATGGAGAAAAACGTTGCTTGAAGCTACAAGAAGACAGAGAATAAATTCCTAGATATTGGGCAGTCAGTATTGCTCTTGTGAAGTAGTCTTTACTCCTTTTCTACAAGGACATGAATGGCATAATCAAATCGGATACTTATCTTCAAGAAGAGGTTCATTGATACTTATCTTCAAGGAGAAGTTCATTGATATTTATCTTCAAGAAGAGGTTCATTGATACTTATCTTCTAGGAGAGGTTCATTGATACTTATCTTCAAGGAGAAGTTCATTGATATTTATCTTCTAGGAGAGGTTCATTGATACTTATCTTCTAGGAGAGGTTCATTGATACTTATCTTCAAGGAGAAGTTCATTGATATTTATCTTCTAGGAGAGGTTCATTGATACTTATCTTCTAGGAGAGGTTCATTGATACTTATCTTCAAGAAGAGGTTCATTGATACTTATCTTCAAGGAGAGGTTCATTGATACTTATCTTCAAGAAGAGGTTCATTGATACTTATCTTCTAGGAGAGGTTCATTGATACTTATCTTCAAGGAGAGGTTCATTGATACTTATCTTCAAGGAGAGGTTCATTGATACTTATCTTCTAGGAGAGGTTCATTGATACTTATCTTCAAGGAGAGATTCATTGATACTTATCTTCAAGGAGAGGTTCATTGATACTTATCTTCAAGGAGAGATTCATTGATACTTATCTTCAAGGAGAGGTTCATTGATACTTATCTTCAATGAGAGGTTCACTCTATTCTAGATGCTTTGTCTGGCTTTTCTTGCTTTACAACTGAAAAGCGGATAATTATAGAGCGAACTAGACAAAAGACGTGAAAGAAGACAATATTTACAGAATGTAATTCATTCAATCAATCATTTGATTGCTTTGTCTTATAAAATCTGCAAAGCCCCACCACGGTAGAAAGATTAAAGAATTGTGCTTCAAATGAATTATCTTAATATAATATATTTATTTAACTTTATAAAATCATAATGATTGAAGAAATGATGAAAACCAAACTTAGGATATTAGGGTAACTCTAACCAAAGAAACTGAGAAGGCTTTATTGCAGAATGTCATTTCTTAGGCAAAATACACCCCCCCCCCCCCCACACACACACACACCCAGTGGCTCGGCTGGAAGTCTACTGGCTTATTATGCAAAACATCGGCTTTTTGATACCCATGGTGGGCAGAGCACAAATAGCCCATTGTCTTTAGATGATGTTGAGTCATCTGTAGAGAAAAAAATATAAATATGTTTGTTTGTTTACTTCCTTATTTGT